AGAAAGAAAGAAAGAAAGAAAGAAAAAGAAAGAAAGAAAGAAAGGAAGGAAGGAAGGAAGGAAGGAAGGAAGAAAGGAAGGAAGGAAGGAAGGAAGGAAGGAAGGAAGGAAGGAAGAAAGAAAAGAAGGAAGAAAGGAAGGAAGGAAGGAAGAAAGAAAGAAAGAAAGGAAGGAAGGAAGGAAGAAAGAAAGAAAGAAAGGAAGGAAGGAAGGAAGGAAGGAAGGAAAGAAGGAAGGAAGGAAGGAAGAAAAGAAAAGAAAAAAGAAAAAAGAAAAGAAAAGAAAAGAAAAGAAAAGAAAAGAAAAGAAAAGAAAAGAAAAGAAAAGAAAAGAAAAGAAAAGAAAAGAAAAGAAAAGAAAAGAAAAGAAAAGAAAAGAAAAGAAAAGAAAAGAAAAGAAAAGAAAAGAAAAGAAAAGAAAAGAAAAGAAAAGAAAAGAAAAGAAAAGAAAAGAAAAGAAAAGAAAAAAGAAAAGAAAGAAAGAAAACACAACTCTAGGGGCCAGCAGGTGGTGTAGTGGTTAAGGTGCTGGACTCCCACGGGGTTGACCAAGGTTCAAGTCCCAGACCTAGCAGCTTGAAATTCATGCCAGACACATGTGTGTGCGTATCCAAATTCCCGAGAAGAGAATAGAGGAGAAGGGATTGTGATGTGGCCATCTTCCCTGGGGGATGATCTCTTGCTTTCTGTTTCTCTGACTCTCTCTATCTCTCCAGCAAGCACACACCCACTATAGCAAAAATCTCTCAAAAACGGAAAGAAAACAGAGCCCTCTAACCACAGATGGCTAAGAGCCGGGTCCTTAGCGCAGTCCACCCTGGACTCTTGTCCCAGAGTTAGAATTTAGATGTGAAATCACTTATCTAAATCTAACCCAGCTCACAGAAGACTGTCGACATACAAATTGGGATGATTCCAGTAACCTGACTTGCAGAAAGCCTCAGGTTCAAAGAACTTCCTTTTGTAAAAACTTCAAGATGGCTACTAAAAGTGCCTAAAGTACTTCCCTTGCAAGATGAAAGGACCAAAACAAAGAATAAGCAAGAGATATTCATTGCTGTGTTCGAGGGAGAATGTTGGAGTACAGTGTGAATGTAGTAGCTACAGTGCAGAATACGGAGACTCAGGAAGGCTTTGTAGAGAGGGGAGCAAAGCGCTTGGCATTCCTTGTCCTAGCGCCCTAGTCAAGATCAACTAGGAACTAGAAGGGACTTCTTGTTCTGGGGAGAGAATAAGCAAGAAACTCTCAGCAGTCCCATTGACAACTTGGACACCTGAATTTTACCACAGAGGAATTCTATAGCCCTCACAGGCTCTGAGCCCAATTTCAGGAGTGACCAGGGATTGTCCACACTGCTGAATTACCACAGGGGAGGAGTCTAGTCTTTGTTTTACCATCTCCCGCACTGGTTGTGGCTGTACAAAGCCATTCTATGACCATATCCACCTGCATTGTGCAGAAGCAACTGGGCAAACACCCTTTCCTGAAACCACTAGCAAGCATCAGGAGCTATTGAAGCAGCCTTACCTCCCCAACATACTTGTATGTCCCATGGGAGTGGCAGAGTGAGCAACCCTGCCCAAAGTTCAGCTTCAGAGAGGGCCTGACCCTCTACATTTTCAATAAGCAGGTAGGGAGAGTGACTGTGGACACAACTGTGCTGTTTGAAAAGCCCTACCCTGTAATGTTCCAAGAACAGCCAACTAGGCCACTGTGTCACTTCTAGTAATCACTGACACTGATTACAGCTGAAGATACTACTATACTAGTGTGCCTACCTGGAGCCAAAGCCAACATACTCTATACAACTGGCATCCTAGGACACAACTACTGGAGAAAAGTCTTTTCACCTGGAACACCACCCTATAAAACTGATAGAGGCAACTATTCACCAGATGAACAAATATCAATATAGACATACAAAGATACCTGAAAAAACAAGCTAGCATGACGCTCCCAAAGCAATACAATATTTTGGCAACGTATCCCACAGAGAAGGAAATCTGTGAAATGTCTAAAAAGGAATCCTACATTTTTATTATAAGGAAACTCATAAGATACAAGAGAGTAGTGAGTCAATCGAATGAATTAATGAAATCATTACATGATCTGAAAGATTCATTCCACAAAGGGACAGATGTCATTAAAAAGGACCAAGAAGAAATCTTGGAGCAGAAGGAGTCAAAAAAATAAATACCATATACAATTGGGAGCTTTAACAATAAACTTTATCAAGCAGAGAAAAGAATTTCAAAACTTGAAGACAAGTCATTTGAAATAATCCAGAGAGAAAAACAGAAAAAGTAATAAAAAAGAATGAAGAACACGTCAGGAGCTTTCATAATAGGCTTTTTCAAGTAGAGGAAAGAGTTTCAAAACTTGAAGACAAATCATTTTAAATAATCCAGTCAGAAAGAAAAACAGAAAAAAGAATACGGGATATCTGGGACAATATTAAATGAA